GGTCAATTAATATTATATATGTGGAAATATGAAGAGTGAATGGCATTGTTTATATGTGCTTGGAATGACAAAGTTCTATCAAAGATGACACCCAAACTTTTAACTTGTTTAGACACAGACACTGGAAAATTATCGATATTCACTGAGGAACATTTAGACTTGGCCAGACTGGTTTTTAAGACAACAAGAAGAATTTCAGTCTTAGATTTCAGATTTGATGTGAACCAGTCTTTAATCTCAGCTACACAATCTGAGAGGATAGATGGAAGAAAAATAGAGACAGGTAAATTTGGGTGTCATCAGCATAGCAGTGAAACTGAATACCAAACTTCTTATAAATATTACCAAGAGGTAGAAGATAAATAATAAATAAGAGAGGACCAAAAACTGAGTCCTGGGGAACCCCAGTAGTAACATATGAAGGCTTTGATGTAAGCTGCTTTAGCTGTACAAATTGAGTATGACCCATTAGATAAGATCGAAACCAAGTCAGGGCAGGTCCCATGATTCCAATAGAATCTGTCCAACAAAATACTGTGCGAGATAGTATCAAATGCTATATCAATTAGCATATTGGCGAAATTTCCCAGGTCATTCCAATAGGAATCCACGCCATCAGGAGTTTCAATTGAGGGTGATAAAGTTCCTCACTCAGATTTCGCTCATGTTCACATCAATTCATTTTTCAGACCAACAGAAAGTTGAAATTTGCTAATGTGGCTGCACTTTTAGAATGATTTCTAAAGGACCATGTGCCACTGAATTAATAACTGCTGAAAATAAAATAAAATAAATTACATTTTAAAATATATTAAACAGAAAACAGTTCTTTTAAATTCTAATAATATTTTTTATTTTTATTTATATAACTGTTTGTGCATTTTTATCAAATAAATGCAGCCTTGGTGAGAATAAGAGACTTCTTTTAAAAACATGAAAATCTGACCCCAAACTTTTGTACGGTATTTGGTTGAAATATAGTATGAATATAGAGACTTATGCTTGCTAGGTGGTTTCTTACAGGCTAAAGTCAAAAGACACCACTTTCCAAGTTTCTCTGGTCTCAGCACAGCTTCCAGGGTGTCACCTGTTTTATTCTGCTCCAGGCAAAATTGTTTGGAAAACTGTCTGATCGACGGCATGTTCCCAACATCCATCGAACACACACATCACTACCACTCTGACTTCCTGCAGCTTGGAATGGCTGAGCTCAGTCAGGCCTTCTGATTGGTCAAACACGCAGAAAAATAAACATGGTGGGGTCCATACTGCATCTGTAAATCCCCCAGTGGGCGACGATGGGTCCTACTGGATTTATATGAATAGAGGGACTCTAAATCAACAGGCAGGCTTGACAATGAGTTGAATCCAGGGACTAAAAACACACAGGTCACAGTCGGGATATAGGATTAAGTTTTAGCAGTGGAGAAGAGACGAGAGGAGAGAAGAGACAAGCTTCTTGTGCTTCCCGCTGCTCTTCTTTCTCTCCTCCATGATATCTTCTTCACCCTCAGGGCTGATGCATAGGTTATTGACTTCATAACATTCCTGGCATTTCCCAGTTTATTCCCTGCATTTCCACCCCACCACAGAAAACCTCTCGGACTTTCTCCGTATTACTTTGAACATAAAACATTCTGCTAGCTGGAGTCATGTTTTGACAAACTGTCTCCTGCGAGACAACGTAATTGACACAACATGGAAATCCCAAATCATGTGGCCTAAATCTCATAGCAAAACACAGTACAAATAACAGACTTAACTAAAAACGCTCACCTCCACTACATGAATATAATCAAATTCAAAGCTTACTCTTTAAATGTGGCGTATCTGTGGTGAGATGGAGATGGAGGAGACAGGCAGAGGGCGTGAGAGAGAGAGAGACAGAGGTGTGTGAGGTTCACATAGAATAATACTGACCCCACACTCATTCTCATACACAGAAACATACAGACAAAGAAAGAAAGAAAGATTAAAACAATAGTGGTCAAAATCTGTACAAATACATTTTTTTTGCAATATATATATATATATATATATATATATACAGTGCCGTGAAAAGGTTTTTGCCCCCTTCCCGGTTTTTTTTTTTTTGCATATTAGTCACACTTAAAAGATTCAGATCATCAAACTAATTTTTATATTACACAAAGATAACGCAAGTAAATACAAAACGCAGTTTTTAAATTATGATTTCATTTATTAAGGGAAAAAACCTGCCTGGCACTACGTGAAAAAGTAATTGCCCCCTAAATCTAATAACTAGTTGTGTCACTCTTGGCAGCAACAACTGCAATCAAGCGTTTGCGATAACTGGCAGTGAGTCTTTCACATCGCTGTGGAGGAATTTTGGCCCACTCTTCTTTGCAGAATTGTTTTAATTCAGCCACATTGGAGGGTTTTCGAGCATGAATGGACAGTTTAAAGGGCTACTCCACCCTTTAAAATGTGCACAACTAAAATAGCTAAATATTATAATAATTAATATTACAAACAAATATTCAAACGATTTTGTTTGCAGTATAATGCTGAGAAATACCCTAACAAAAAAGTACTGTGCCAGTACAATGGTACCATATGGTATCAGATCAGGTCGAAAAACTGCACAAACTCTGAGCCACATTCTGTCCAAAAAAAGGAGGTAACTAGGGAAAATATACCTGCCAAGTGAAGCTGGTATCACTCAAGTTGATCTGTGAAGTTGGAGTTTTGACGTGTCGACCGTCTGATATGCATCGCGACGAAAAGCACTCGAGCAGCTTTCTGTTGCTATGGTAACCATCTCAAGTAAACGCAACTTCTGTACGCGAAAGTTTATTTAGTGAACTCTGACTAACATTTGCAGTTACTGAATGTTGTTTGGAAGCCCATACGCTTCAATTTAATACATAATCTCCCACATAATTACAAATACAACAAATACGTTTAAGATGTTGTATTTTTCAGAATAATTCATTACACTGCTCTGACATATCTGCCATCCTTGTTGTCATAGACCAGGCTAATTAAAACCTAGAGCTTCTGAGTTAGAGTTGAGAAATAAATGAAATAATTCCGTCCTTTCTCCACATTCTTAAACTACTTTGTCTTTTCTTCGTTAAAATGATTCGTAGGCTACCCAAAAATAATGCCTTTTTTAGTAACGTTAGACACATTCTTTTATGAAACTCACCGCTTTGGTTTGTGCAGGAGTAAGAAGTCCCAGCAACATCATTCCGAGAAGTGTCGCTCGCAATATTAGGCAAGAATCCATCTTCTCATCCGCACAATTCCCACCGGGTCAAATCGGCAACTATCTCAAATCACACGTTATTCAGGCGACCTGAGAAAGTTGAGGCTCTCCAAATCTACCTCGGTGCCACCTGCAGCACTGCGACCATCTCAGAAATAAAACTTTAACTTGCACTTAAGAAACGGATTCAAACTCTTTTGGGGCTGTCAATGAATCCTCAAGAATATCAGACCGGCGGGGGTTCGAAGAAGTGTGTTTGGCCAATTCTGCAGTACCTGCTTTGTCGTTGAACAGCCCGTGACGTCACGAAACGCAGAGCCGCAGCAGCTGTCGGATCACTTTAGCCGACTCTCTCGCGCGTTTCTCTTAAAGTGTTCGGCGTGCACCTTCTCTTTATGGTATTGTATTTTACGTGTTAATGTAGAGCCGCGGTGGTGGCGCAGGAAACTACGGGATCAGGTGAGGAGTTCGACTTCGTTTTTGTTTGCTTGTTGTATTTGGGTGTTTGATTAAAGGTCTTGCACTTGTGAATGTCGTTTAAATGTTACCTCACGGCGTGTTTTGTTTAAAATGCACGTCGTCCAAAATATAATCCGATCAGTCAGAGAGCTTATTGTCAGTAGCGTATGGTCAAATGTAAATACATTGAATTGCAGCAGCAGTTAGAAATTAAATACAGGATGAAATCACCCTACCTGACCACCACCTTTCTGAGGTGACAGAATTTGTACGGGGGGAAATATAACAGTTGTGGGGTAATAAAGCAGAAATTGATGTCTGTAACAGTTTGATTTGTGATGTTGGTACTGGATGTTAAATGACAGAGCTGAATGAGCCGATTCTTAGGTTTCATTTGATATATAACATCCACAGAAGCTTGTCAGCTACTTGTTTGATTGAAAGTATCTTTGCAACACCACTGTTCAATGTAGCTTTCTTCAACTGGTCCCACGGTAATAAAGCAGAAATTGATGTCTGTAACAGTTTGATTTGTGATGTTGGTACTGGATGTTAAATGACAGCTGAATGAGCCGATTCTTAGGTTTCATTTGATATATAACATCCACAGAAGCTTGTCAGCTACTTGTTTGATTGAAAGTATCTTTGCAACACCACTGTTCAATGTAGCCTTCTTCAACTGGTCCCACAAAGATTGCACAAAATGGGACAGCACATAAGCCACATTTGCTACAATTGGCACAAACATTGTATGTTTTTGTTGTTAGCCTATGTGTTTATTTTTCCTAGTTTATTTACTATTATGCATTAAGTTTTCCATTTGTTTACCGTTTTGAAATGGTAAAATGCTCAAAAATGAAAAGTAAGTGAGTGACGTTGGATGGTGTAGTAATTCTTTTGAATAAGTAAATTTGATTGCCACATTAATTTAAATCCATCAGTAAGTTTCCGTAGATATTGGGATGGGAAGTAACAGCAGCACTCGGTATATGACATTATTTACAGTTTAGAGATCAGCTGTAGTTTTCCAAACAAATTTATTGTAGCTGATGAATATGGAAATATCATAGAAACCGTTATGATAACTGTTTGTTATTAATAATAACATTTATCGTCAAATCAGGTCAGAAAGTAGTATGAGAATCACAAAGATTGCACAAAATGGGACCGCACATAGGCCACATTTGCTACAATTGGCACAAACATTGTATGTTTTTGTTGTTAGCCTATATACTATGTATTTATTTTTCCTAGTTTATTTACTATTATGCATTAAGATGCATTAAGGCTGTCAATGAATCCTCAAGAATATCAGACCGGCGGGGGTTCGAAGAAGTGTGTTTGGCCAATTCTGCAGTACCTGCTTTGTCGTTGAACAGCCCGTGACGTCACGAAACGCAGAGCCGCAGCAGCTGTCGGATCACTTTAGCCGACTCTCTCGCGCGTTTCTCTTAAAGTGTTCGGCGTGCACCTTCTCTTTATGGTATTGTATTTTACGTGTTAATGTAGAGCCGCGGTGGTGGCGCAGGAAACTACGGGATCAGGTGAGGAGTTCGACTTCGTTTTTGTTTGCTTGTTGTATTTGGGTGTTTGATTAAAGGTCTTGCACTTGTGAATGTCGTTTAAATGTTACCTCACGGCGTGTTTTGTTTAAAATGCACGTCGTCCAAAATATAATCCGATCAGTCAGAGAGCTTATTGTCAGTAGCGTATGGTCAAATGTAAATACATTGAATTGCAGCAGCAGTTAGAAATTAAATACAGGATGAAATCACCCTACCTGACCACCACCTTTCTGAGGTGACAGAATTTGTACGGGGGGAAATATAACAGTTGTGGGGTAATAAAGCAGAAATTGATGTCTGTAACAGTTTGATTTGTGATGTTGGTACTGGATGTTAAATGACAGAGCTGAATGAGCCGATTCTTAGGTTTCATTTGATATATAACATCCACAGAAGCTTGTCAGCTACTTGTTTGATTGAAAGTATCTTTGCAACACCACTGTTCAATGTAGCCTTCTTCAACTGGTCCCACAAAGATTGCACAAAATGGGACAGCACATAAGCCACATTTGCTACAATTGGCACAAACATTGTATGTTTTTGTTGTTAGCCTATGTGTTTATTTTTCCTAGTTTATTTACTATTATGCATTAAGTTTTCCATTTGTTTACCGTTTTGAAATGGTAAAATGCTCAAAAATGAAATGTAAGTGAGTGACGTTGGATGGCGTAGTAATTCTTTTGAATAAGTAAATTTGATTGCCACATTAATTTAAATCCATCAGTAAGTTTCCGTAGATATTGGGATGGGAAGTAACAGCAGCACTCGGTATATGACATTATTTACAGTTTAGAGATCAGCTGTAGTTTTCCAAACAAATTTATTGTAGCTGATGAATATGGAAATATCATAGAAACCGTTATGATAACTGTTTGTTATTAATAATAACATTTATCGTCAAATCAGGTCAGAAAGTAGTATGAGAATCACAAAGATTGCACAAAATGGGACCGCACATAGGCCACATTTGCTACAATTGGCACAAACATTGTATGTTTTTGTTGTTAGCCTATATACTATGTATTTATTTTTCCTAGTTTATTTACTATTATGCATTAAGATGCATTAAGTTTTCCATTTGTTTACCGTTTTGAAATGAAATGCTAAAAAATGAAAAGTAAGTGAGTGACGTTGGATGGTGTAGTAATTCTTTTGAATAAGTAAATTTGATTGCCACATTAATTTAAATCCATCAGTAAGTTTCCATAGATATTGGGATGGGAAGTAACCCAGTTTAGAGATCAGCTGTAGTTTTCCAAACAAAGTTATTGTAGATGATGAATATGGAAATATCATATATCAAATCAGGTCAGAAAGTAGTATGAGAAATGTTATGGCTTGGATGTGCAACTGATGGTAAATTCAGCCATGAATATGTTAAAGCCCTTATAATTCTAATGATTTTAATGTCGTAATATGTCCTGGATATGCACCTGTCTGTCATGCTGTCTTGTTTGTGTGGCCATTGTCCATGTCAGTGAGTTCGCTTTAAAATCTTTGTCGTTCTTGACTTGTGTGCCATGAAAAAGAAGCCATCCGGAAAGATCAACTTTGTCCCAGCTCCATCTATTGTATTGATTTAGCCGGTCTCTTTCATTCTCAACCCCTCTTCTCACATCACCACCTCCACCGTATTGTCAGCCACAGGAAATATTATCTATAACATCTAATTGTATACCTGTCTGCCTTTACCTAACTGTGATTTACACCATTATTTGTCCATATATTTGTGCAGTGATTTTCCCATTCATCCATCTCTTGATTTTTCTCTCAGGTGGATGAGTTGTCAGTGGGGACGTCAGGAGCCATAGCTACATCACTGACCACACCATTCTGAGGCAGTGGATATATATATATCAACAGGTAGCACATGCCCTGAGTGGTGGCTGAGATGACACGCACCCGCCAGATCACCTCAACCAGCCTCCTTCTCTTGTAAGAGTTCCTATTGTCTTAATATTCCAATCATATTTTGACATTTATCATAATTCAATTAGATCACACAAATCCTAATCAGCTGATTAGATACCTACATCAATAACACAATTATGTATTCATCAAAAACATCTTATCTTAAACACTGTCCTCAGGATTTTAGGTTTGCTGTCACCTGGCATAGGTATAATGGTGCTTCTATAAGGAGGTCACATAGAAAATTGCATATAGTCAAGTCAAGTCACCTTTATTTATATAGCGCTTTTAACAATACAGATTGTGACAAAGCAACTGAACAGCATTAATTAGGAAAATAGTGTCAATAATGCAAAATGACAATAGTAAACACTCATTTTTCAGTTAAAGACAGTTCATCATTGAATTCAGTGATGTCAACATCCAGCTCAGTTTAAATAATATCTTTGCAATTATGTCAACGATATCGCTGGAAATGAAGTGTCCCCAACTAAGCAAGCCAGAGGCGACAGCGGCAAGGAACCAAAACTCCATCGGTGACAGAATGGAGAAAAAACCTTGGGAGAAACCAGGCTCAGTCGGGGGGCCAGTTCTCCTCTGACCAGACGAACCAGCAGAACGGAAAAATCAATATAAGACGTAATAAAACCATATACCATTCAAAAGTTTGGGTCAGTAAGATTTTTTAAAGAAATTAATAGTTTTATTCAGCAAGGATACATTAAATTGATCAAAAGTAACAGTAAATACATTTTTAATGCTATAAAATATTTCTGTTTTAAATAATCCCGAAAAAATGTATCACAGTTTCCACAAAAATATTAAGCAGCA